AGTTTTTGGCATAATGTTTAAGAAATTTTTACCTCAATGTCATGATCATTCAGTATTTTCTTTTTTTATATATATTATTTTTTATTATTTATTTATTTAGTTTTATTAATTAAAATTTATATCTAAATTAGCATATAGTGCAACAATGATTTCAGGATTAGATTCATTAGTTCCCCCTTACCAGTTTAGCCCATCCCCCTCCCAAAATCCTTCCAGCAACCCTCTGTTTGTTCTCCATATATGAGTCTCTTATGCTCTGTCCCCTCCATGCTTTTATATTATTTTTGTTTCCCATCCATTATGTTTATCTGTTTTGTCTCTTAAAATCCTCATATGAGTGATGTCATATGATTTTTGTCTTTCTCTGACTAATTTCACTTAGCATAATACCCTCCAGTTCCATCCACATAGTTGCAAATGGAAAGATTTCATTCTTTTTGATTGCCTAGTAAGACTCCATTGTATGTATATATATACCATATCTTCTTTATCCATTCATCCATCGATGGACATTTGGGCTCTTTTCATATTTTGACTATTGTTGATAGTGCTGCTATAAACATGGGGGTGCATGTGTCCCTTCGAAACAGATCACCTGTGTCCCATGTATAAATGCCTAGTAGTGCAATTGCTGGGTCATAAGGTAGTTATATTTTAGTTTTTTGACAAACCTCCATACAGCTTTCCAGAGTGGCTGCACCAGCTTGCATTCCCACCAACAATGCAAAAGAGATCCTCTCTCTGCATCCTTGCCAACATCTGTTGTTGCCTGAGTTGTTAATGTTAGCCATTTTGACAGGTGTCAGGTGGTATCTCATTAGGGTTTTGATTTGCATTTCCGTGATGATGAGTGATGTGGAGAATTTTTTCATGTGTTGGTTGGCCATCTGGATGTCTTCTTTGGAGATGTGTCTATTCATGTATTTTGCCCGTTTCTTCACTGGATTATTTGTGTTTTGGGTATTGGATACCAGCCCTTTGGATTTTATAGATTTTGGATACTAACCCGTTATCTGAGATGTCATTTGAAAATATCTTCTCCCATTCTGTCAGTTGAATTTTAATTTTGCTGATTGTTTGCCTTCACTGTGCAGAAGCTTTTTATTTTGATGAGGTCCCAGTCGTTCATTTTTGCTTTTGTTTCCCTTGCTTCTGGGGACGTGTTGAGTAGCAAGTTGCTGTGGCCAAGATCAAAGATGTTTTTGCCTGTTTTCTCCTCGAGGATTTTGATGGTTTCCTGATTTAATTGAGGTCTTTCATCCATTTTGTATTTTTTGTGAATGGTGTAGGAAAGTGGTTCAGGTTCATTCTTCTGCATGTCACTGTCCAGTTTTTCCAGCAACAGTTGCTGAAGAAACTTTCTTTATTCCATTGGTATTCTTTCCTGCTTTGTCAAAGATTACTTGGCCATATGTTTGTGGGTCCACTTCTGGGTTTTTTAATCTGTTCCATTGATCTGAGTGTCTGTTCTTGTTTTTGTTTTTAAATTTTTTGGCGTTTATTTATGACTTTTGAGAGACAAAGACAGAGCATGAGCGGGGGAGGGGAGAGAGAGAGGGAGGCAGAGAATTCCAAGTAGGCTCCAGGCTCTGAGCTGTCAGCACGTAGCCCGTTGTGGGACTCAAACTCATGGGCCACAAGATTTTGACCTGAGACAAAGTCAGACGCTTAACTGACTGATCCACCCAGATGCCCCTGAGTGTCTGTTCTTGTGCCAGTACCATACTGTCTTGATCATTACAGCTTTGTAGTATAGCTTGAACTCTGGGATTATGATGTCTCCTGCTTTGGTTTTGTTTTTCAAGATCACTTTGACTATTCTGGGTCTTTTCTGTTCCATATAAATTTTAGGATTATTTGTCTAGCTCTGTGAAGAATGCTGGTGTCACTTCGATCAGGCTTGCATTGATTATGTAGATTGTTTTGGGTACTATCAGCGTTTTAACAATATTTGTTCTTCCTATCCAGGAGCGTGGAATCTTTTTCCATATTTTGTCATCTTCAATTTCTTTCATAAGGTTTCTATCATTTTTAGTGTATAGAGTTTCGTCTCTTTGGTTAGACTTATTCCTAGGTTTTTATGGTTTTTGGTGCTACTGTAAATGGGATAGATTCCTTGTTTTCTTTTCTGTCACTTCATTGTGGGTATATAGGAATTCAACTGATTTCTCTGCGTTGATTTTGTATCCTGCCACTTTGCTGAAGTTATGAATCCTAGCAGTTTTTTGGTGGAGTCTTTTGGGTTTTCCATATAGAGTATCATGTCATCTGTGAAGAGTGAAAGTTTGACCCCTTCCTGGCTGATTTGTATGCCTTTTGTTTCTTTGTGTTGTCTGCTTGCAGAGGCTAAGACTTCCAATAATCTGTTGAATAACAGTGGCAAGAGTGGACATCCCTGTCTTGTTCCTGACCTTAGGGAGACAGCTCTCAGTTTTTCCCCATTGAGGATGATATTAGCATTGGGTCTTTCATAGATGGCTTTTAGGATCTCGAGGTATAGTCCTTCTATCCCTACTTTCTTGAGGGTTTTTATCAAGAAAGGATGTTGTATTTTGTCAAATGCTTTCTCTGCATCTGTGGAGAGGATCATATGGTTCCTGTTCTTTCTTTTATCATTGTGATGAATCACGTTTATTGTTTTACAGATATTGAGCCAGCCCTGCATCCCAGGTATAAATCCCACTTGGTCGTGGTGATTAATTTTTTAAAATGTATTATTGTTTCTGGTTGGATAATTCTTGTTGAGGATTTTTGCATCCATGTTCATCAGGGAAATTGGTCTATAGTTCTCCTTTTAAGTGAGGTCTCTGTCTGGTTTTGGAATCAAGGTAATGCTGGCTTCATAGAAAAAGTTTGGAAGTTTTCTTTCCATTTCTATTTTTTGGAACAGTTTCAAGAGAATAGGTGTTAACTCTTCCTTAAATGTTTGGTAGAATTCTCCTGGAAAGCTATCTGGTCCTGGGCTGTTGTCTTTTGGCAGATTTTTGGTTACTAATTCGATTTCCTTACTGGTTATGGGTCTGTTCAAATTTTCTATTTCTTCCTGTTTCAGTTTTGGTAGTGTATATGTTTCTAGGAATTTGTCCCTTTCTTCCAGATTGCCCATTCTATTGGCATATAACTGTTCATAATATTTTCTTATTACTGTTTTTATTTCTGTTGTGTTTGTTGTGATGTCTCCTCTGTCATTCTTGATTTTATTTATTTGGGTCCTTTTATTTCTCTTTTTGATCAATCTGGATAGTGGTTGATCAATTTTGTTAATTCTTTCAAAGAACCAGCTTTTAGTTTCATTGATCTGTTGTACTGTTTTTTTCTTTGGTTTCGATAACATTAATTTCTGCTCTAATCTTTATTATTCCCTGTCTTCTGCTGGTTTTGGGTTTTATTTGCTGTTCTTTTCCAGCTTCTTAAGGCATAAGGTTAGGTTGTGTATCTGAGATCTTTCTTCTTTCTTTAGGAAGGCCCGGATTGCTATATACTTTCTTCTAATGGCCGCCTTTGCTGCATCCTAGAGATTTGCGTTGTGGTGTTATGTTTTTCATTGACTTCCATATACTTTTCAATTTCCTCTTTAACTGTTTGGTTAGCCCTTTCATTCTTTAGTAGGATGTTCTTCAGTCTCCAAGTCTTTGTTACCTTTCCAAATTTTTTCTTGTGGTTGATTTCGAGTTCATGGCAATTGTGGTCTGAAATTATGTATGGTAGGATCTCAATCTTTTTGTGCTTACTTAGGGCTGATTTGTGCCCCAGTATATGGTCTATTCTGGAGAACGTTCCATGGGCACTGGAGAAGAATGCATATTCTGTTGCTTTAGGATGAAATGTTCTGAATATATCTGTTAAGTCCATCTGGTCGAGTGTGTCATTCAATGCTATTGTTTTCTTGTTGATTTTTTGATTAGATCATCTGTCCATTGCTGTGAGTGGGGTGTTGAAGTCTCCTACTATTATGGTATTCTTATCAATGAGTTTCTTTATGTTTGTGATTAATTGATTTATATATTTGGGTGCTCTCACATTTGGCTCATAAATGTTTACAGTTGTTAGGTCTTCTTGGTGGATAGACCCCTTGATTATGAACGATATAATGCCCTTCTGCATTTTTTGATACAGTCTGTATGT